ACTTCCTGCTGAGAGCAATGAGAAGAGCGGACAGGGAAGCTGGGCGTGGTGGTGTACATTTGCAATGGCAGCACTCTGGGAGGCTGAGGCAGGAGGATCGCAAGTTCCAGCCTAGCCTATACAATTTAGTGAGACCCTGATCAAAATTAAAATATATATATATATATAAAGGCTGAGAATATAGCTCAGTGTCAAGGTCCTGGGTTCAATTCCCAGCCCTAAAAATAAAATAAAATAAAATGAAATAGCAGACTGTTTGTAGCACTAATAAGATAAACCTATGCTCAGGAACTTCTTGGGCTGGGATGTGGAGGAAACTGAGGCAGGGAGGTGAGCCTGGGCTAGGAGATACTTTTCCATCAGGAATGGAGGAAGTGCCATTGGTCTAAACAGGTTGTATCTTATTGGATTTTATTGTGTACGATAGTATAAGCAAAAACTTTTAAAGATAAGGAGATTATACAGAAACCATTGTTCATTTTCTGTTAGTTGATTCTAAATACCCTGTAATGCTGTCATTCTCTTAAATGGTTTTACATTGTTTTGATATATTTAATGCTACAGTATACAAAGTTGTACTCAAGGATTTCAAGGAAAGAGACAATATGGTAACTACTTTTATGTCAAGATTATCTTGTGGTGAAACACTATTCTGCTTAAATGGTTACGTTTTGATCTGCGCTGATTTGCTGTTATGCCCTCTTTTATCTCAATCTCCACTCCATTATTTACTTTTTTATTTTTATCCTTTTAATTAAGGGAAAAATAAATAAAAATAGCAGGATATATTATAGCAACCCACTTTAACTTTCCATTATCTTGATTTAAAGCCCTGTATTACTCTCACCATCTTGTTTTTGACTGATGTCCCCCTATTCTGCTTTGCTTGATAGTACCAGGTTCGAAAGTTTAGGCAACAGCTGTGAAGATAGTGAGATTCATTATGACGCCCATTCTGGTTGACTATTATCTACTTTTAAAGACCTATAATGTCTCCAATGTTTTGGTTTTGTCGGTTTTGTTCTTTACTGTTTTGTTCAATTTTATTATAACTGATGATATAGGCAATTCTATTAGAGATAGCGGGAGGCATTATGGTAACCATTGTTGATCACCTTGTATTATGCTTTTACATTATCTATTATGTCCACCCTTTTGATTTGATTGACTCTGTTCTGTTATGTCACATTTGGTTCTACTCCCTTCCAAAAAAGTAATAAGAACTGTGGGAGTAACAAAACCCAAAATGTGTAATTGTCATTGTACAAAAGAGAGGAAAACAAAGTGCTCTAAATGATATAACTACATGTATGTTTAAGTGTATAAGATAGAAAATGATGTCACTGAGTTTTATTGGATCATTGAACAGAACTGTTTGCAGTCTCACTGTTGGAATGTCCACTTTACAAGCTTTAACTTTGTGACTTGAACAATTATTTCTAAGATGACAATATGTAATCCATTAACTAGTGATTTCCTACTGTTTATTTTTTTCTGTAAATCTGTATAACTTGTACCCTTTCTCTGCTTTTTTTTTTCTCCTTAAATAAAATTAAAAAAAAAAAAAAAGGAATGGAGGAAGTGGTTGAGGCTGAATGAGGGATGGTGTCTTCTTGTAGGGAGGACTGAGTCTCATGTAGTCACAGGAGGTGGGTTTGATGAGGCCCTGGTTTAGGTGAAGGCTGCATGCAAAGGCCTGCAGGGACAGAGGATGGACTGGAAGAAGGCAAGTTTGTGAATTCTGCAGCCTTGGCACATCTCAGTTCCTGCCCCAAATTATCAGATCCAGGTTGTTGGTACCCTCCAGCCCTCATAAATCCTCTCTGCAAGGAGACACTACCCCCTGTCAGGTGATTTCCACAAACAATTTTGCAACTGCAATGTCCAGGGCACAAAAAATAAAACAACAAATTCAACTCATAAGAGAATAAAAATACACATACACAAGCAAAATAGGAAACCAAAAAATAAGTAGACATATGATGAAGACAACACAAATAAAACATGAAACAAAAACAAATACAAGTGGGCTGTGATGCACACTTCTAATCTCAGTACTTTGAGAGGCTGAGCCAGGAGGATTCAAGTTTGAGCCCAGCCTGGGCAACTTAGCGAGACAGTGAGACTCTTTCTCAAAATAAAATTTAAAAAAGAGGTCTGTGAATATAGTTCAGTGTGAAAGCTCTGGGTTCAATCCTCAGTACCACAAAACAAAACAAATAAACAGGAACTCTGGATGTTAAAATCATCAGATGAATAGTTTTTAAATTCTTAAATGCTTACACACAATGGAGATGAGAGGCACTGAGAATTTTGGTAGAGAATGAAAATGTGGAAGTTCTAGAGCTAAAAACGACCCAATGAAATAATAGTTTAACAGCATATTAGACAAAGCTGAAGAAAAGTGAATGAGTTGGAAGCTAGATCAGAAAGCAGCATCAGAATGCAGGTGAAAAGGTAAAAGGACCGAGCGCACAGAAGAGAATCAAGGGAGACTTTGGGAGGTGGAAGGGATGGGGCCAAAGCAACACATCAAAGGAGGGGGTCAGTCTGCATGGCCGTGAACCCCAAGCGCCTACAGCAGCACAGATGAAAAGGAACACAACTTTCACCGCTAGATGAGCTGAGGAATGTGTGTCCACCATCAGAGTGAACTCCAAGACAAACAGACTTCTAAAGTAACCAGAGGAAAACACCGATTATCTTCAGCGGGGCAGCGAGTTCCGAGACAGCTGACTTCTTCAGGGAAATGATGAAAGCCAGGGGAGATAGAACCCTTTAGCGGCTGTGCGGGAGAGGATACTCGGTGTGTCAGACGGATGTGGGGGCATTTCCTTCACGAACAATCGGCCCCCGTGGGTACCAACCCAGTTCTGATGCTAAGCCAAGTCAGTGTGGATCCCACAGATTAAGAGGCTGACCCCCATGTCAGGTACCAACTGCAGGCCCCGGTTATAACTGGTTGATCATTTTTTTTACTATGACCTTTTCATGTTTTGTCACCTTTTTGGTTTGAAGGGTAAACCATGAAGATTCAGCGCTTAACTGTTTATTGTTTTTTCCCTTTCTTTTAAAGAAAGTTTCCCTTTTATAATTAGTGATTATTAATTTTACAGAACATTGCACTCCAAGGTGTATAATATTTTGATCGTATCCATCTCCCTAAGCCCCTCACCTAGCTCCTCCTCTTGTGCATGTGTTGCAGGCACTGTTTGAGCCCTGCCCCTTCTGCAATCACTGCACCCCTGCACAGTTACCAGGTGGCTCTGAGATGCCTACTGGCTGCAGAGCCCGCTCCTGCGCATGCGCACACTAGACCCACAGGGAGCTCCTGCTTCCCCACCCCCAGCAATCCTTACGCAATGATTTCAGCCACCTCAGCTTCCCTCCCCCCCCCCCCCGCCGTGAAGAACTCGGAGGTGCTCTCTGCACCCCTCTCTCTCCTGAGACTTCTGGAAGACTGAGTTCAGCAGGAGCACGCAGGATAAAATCCATTTTCAGGGGCCAGAGCAGAAACCCTGATGCCTAGTCAGATGTGCCCAGCCCCAGAGCTGACCTTCTCGGGTACCCTCCACTCTGGGCCTTCTCGGGTACCCTCCACTCTGCACCCCAAATCCTGCACTAGCTTCTCAGCCACCTCTGTTCCTGGGCCATGTCCTTCTTCCCCCACCACCCACCATGCCCCCCTTCTGCTGCACCAGGAGCCCACGTCCTTCTCCTCGCTCAGCTGAAGTGATGCCTCTGTGACACCTGTGGTCTCACCTGTCCCCCTCCCAGATGCTCCAGAACTGGTTGCTGCTGGAGGACTCTGAGGACAGATGCTACTGAAATCCACAAAAACTGGTACTCCTAGGGGCTGGGGATTTAGCTCAGCGGCATAAGCGCCTGCCTTGCAAGCAGGCAGTTGTGAGTTTGATCCCTAGCACCGATAAAAAACGAAAAAGAAAAAAAAAAAAAAAAAGAACTGGTACTCCTGAGCCCCCTTATTTGAATGCCAGAAGACAAACATGCCGAGTCGCTGGGCTAGTCTCTTTCTTGCCCTGACTCTTGGCTTCTGTGAGTGTACAACAAGTGCTTTGACTGGAATCAGGAGGTTGGGGTACAATTCTTCCTGGGAAAATTGCCCTTACCAGGGGCCTGTTAGCATCTTGGGCCCCTGCCACCCAGTGGAGCGCTTCTCTCATTGAAAACACACCACTATGTTTCAGAACATGCCAAGGACCATCTCCTCCAGACCAGTGGTTCCTGAGGTGCTTCCAGTTTAGAAACTCTTGAACCCTCTCGGTGGCATGCGGGGACCACATGGGGATCTGATGGGGAGAAGCTAGAACTGAAGATACGATGGTCAAGCTGTGCCCTAGGACCTGTGGCCAAAACTCATGTCCAGCTTTCTAGCCACACTTGGGATAATGGGAGCCCAGGTGGTGCTGGGGCTGTCCCATCAGAAGTGCTCCAGTTTTTCTGATGGGCACAACCCAGGGGTGCAGAGATGAGCACAGGACTGGTGGGTCTGCTAGGGAGTTGGCCACAACCAGGGGCAAGAAGGGTCAACTCATCCCAGGACACGGAGTGGGTAGGTAGGGGACAGGAGTAAGAAAGGGCTCCAGCCAGACCACTAGAGGTACCAGTCATGGTTGCAACAGCAGAATGATAGTGAGAATGTCCGTGCCAGGGAGGCTGTGAATGCAGCTGGCTGTCTAAACTGCATGATGGAGGCAGGGTGGGAGGGCTGTGTCAGGAAGGGTGACCAAAGATGGCAGCGATGGATAGGACACTGTGGAGCGCAGTGGCCATCCTCTGAGGTAAGGCGGAGCCTGAGGACACTGGAAGGCTGCCCCCATGGTGAGAGTTCTGGGAATCGGTCCACGTGTTAATTCCCTGAGTCATCACCCAGCATCCTGGCTGGAATGAGACCACCCCAGCCCTGTACGTGCGATGGGGCCACAGCTCATCAAGTGTGATGGTCAGAGCCCCGTGACTGATAAAGGAGGAACTGGAAGGGGATCATCAAGTTTTATCCACCTGGGTGCTGCTGTGCCCGAGAGGGCTGGTTCCTAGCAGAGGACGGACGGGGCTGGAGAGAGATGCCAGCTAGTGCCACCTGGTGAGCTGGAGGCTGAGACCCTTCCTTTGAAGCAGAGCAAACAGAGGTGCAGTTCTTGAGTGGGAGGGTATTCTCCGAGCTCCTCCCATCTGCAAAGCTCCTCACTGCCTCTCTGCCCTCTATGGGCCTCAGGTGGTGGTTACCACAAGGCGGTCACACTGCTTTCCAGAAGTCTGGGGAGGTGTCTGGTCCCTGCTGCGAGAAAAACCAATAAAGTGAATTTCTGAACTTTCCACACCAAGGGTCCAATCTGGATGGCTCTACCAAACACCTGCGTGTTACCTGGCATGTCTGAGCGTGGTCATGTCCCCATTCTGCTCCCAGCCACCCACGCACATTAACCCAGGCAATGCTTACAGCAGCCTGGGAGGACACCATGGTCAGCTTGGCGTTAGAGATGGGGCATGAAACTCTACAGGCTGAATAACTTGTAAACCAGGGTTCAGATCCACCCGGGCTCCAGAGGCTCCTGGGAAGGGCTGTCTGAAGCCAACTGTCCTGGAGTTGGGATGGCTGGATTTCAGCTCAGGGAGCCAGCTGTCACTTTCCGGCCACCCTGATGTGGCATTGTGTGACATGAGACTCATCGCTAATGCCCTCTGGAGTCCCCTGGGCCCTAGGCTGAATGAACAGGGTGAACTGGGTGATCCCTGGCAGGCCACTGTGCTGACATTTCAGGAGGCAGCATCAGTCTAAAATAAGCAGCGAGAGCCACGCTGCGGTCAGGAAGGGCAGCCTGGGACATGTGTGCGTGAAGCCGCGAGGCGCTCTGCGGTGAGGGGGCATCTGGGCTAATTGCATGAGCTCAACGGGGCCACTTTCTCCTCTCCGTGCCCACAGCTGGCCGTGAGTCACCGATGGGTCAGTGGCCACAGCAGGCTGCTGGAGACAGGGCAGGACCTGAGCACGGATGGGAGACATATCTGACCTGGAACCAGGCTGGGGGACTCCAAGGGACTCTAGTGCTCTCCTTACTGCTGGCACTGCTACAGCTCTCTGCCATCTCTCTGCATGTAGCACCTTATCTAGGGTGGCTCTGTAGACCCCACATACAACTGCTCATCTCTAATTCCCAAACAACTAGTGGAGGGAAACTGAGGCAGATGAGGCAGGGCAAGACTGCCGGGCATGGGCTAGGCATATATAGGCTCGTGGACCTGCCTCATGGTCCTGGAGCCAGACACTGCAGGATGGGCCAGTGTCAAAGAAGGCACAGGTCAGTGCCATCGCAGGAGGAGGCTGTCAGGTGTGGTGTCTCCTGGCAAGGGCCCAAAGGTAATTTGGGATGGGGTCAGAGTGAGTGTCTTTCAGACACCCAATGTGACATGCCCACCTGTCAGCTGACGGCGTGATTCAAAGGTGCTTTCCTGCACAGGCGTGTGCTGCCCTGGGGACAGGCCCGGGTTCGTGGTCTGTAGGACTTCTGGTGTGGTGCCATGGTCACAGTCAGTTCCGAGACAAGGTCCAAGGTCTGTGTAGCATGTGACATCCGCTGTTGTGCTCATGGGCCATGTTCCACGTGTGCATTCACCCACCCTCACTCCATCCAGCCTCATTCATTCATTTCCAGCATCAGCACTTCCAAGTCTGGCTCCTCTTGGACCTGCTTAAACTAGACACTCAGCCTCAGAGGCTGCCTGGGCCACATTCTGACCATGTTTTACTATTTTTTGTTTGTTTTCAGCACTGGGGATTGAACTCAGGGTTTTTGCACTGAACTATATACCCAGCCCTCTTCAGGTAGGCAGATGGCTGCGAGGGTCCCTGGGTCTCCTCGGGAGTACTGTCCTGGTGTTCACCTCCCCTCTGCCCTTGTCTTGGGCATGGGAAGGGACTCAGGGAAGGCCCCCAGAGATCCCCAGCCTGCTGCCCTCCATGAGCCCCCTGGCTTCCATCAGGGAAGGGGTGAACTGCGTCTTTTGTCCAAGTTTTGTTTTGTTTTGATTTGTTTGAGGCAGGGTCTGGCTATGCAGCCCGGCCAGGCTGGCCTTCAACTCTTAGTGGTCCTCCTGCCTCGTCTTCCAATTGCTGGGTTTACAGGCATGTGCCACTACACCTTGCTTGCACTGAGGTTTAAGGGCCTCAGTTTCAGCTTTTGCTCCCCTACCGTGGCTTTAGCAGCCTGTAGTCCCTGCCTGGCCTTGAGCAGTCAGCACCCAGGTTCTGGGCTACTGGCCCTTGGGGCATCAGATTGTGTGATCAGGAGAGGAATCAGGGGTCTGAGACCCTAGAATGAAACCATGTGCATACGTGTGTATACATGTGTGCCACAGGTTAACTGCTGGGACCTACAGAAGTAGCCCTACACCCAAGCACCTCATTTCCAAGTCTCTGCTCCAGAGGGGGAGGAGCTTCTGAAGGAATGGAGGGGCTGACACTTCTGTCCTAAGAGCCTCAGGGACACTCCAAAGCAGGGTGCGCTGAGAGGCTCCCCACATCTCCTCCAATGCCTAGAGGGCACCCCGGAAGTGCTGCTGAATGAACAGGTTGAGCCTGTACTCGCTGGCCCAGCCCTCGCCTTCCTCCCTGTGTCCTTCAGAGACCATGAGAGCTAAGTTATTCTTAGCAGGCTCATTCATCAGAGGGTGACAGACGGTGTCCTGCATGGAATGCCCAGATGCCAGGGGAGCCAGTCAGGGGAGGGGGGCAGTAAGTCTTGTTTAAGGCCAGAAGCCATTGCCTTCAGGGACTCTGAAGGGGAGATAGCCCCATCCTCGGGGACGCCCTGTTGAAGAGGGTGGCACAGTGCAAAACCCAGAAACACCCTGTGACAGAGTGGATTCACCATGGCTTCCCTGGGCCTCTGAGAGGTGCCATGCTAAGCAGAGATCCGATCTTTCCCAAGAACTTCAGGTTAGAAAAGAAAAGGCAGGACATGGTGAAGGCCTGTGAACCTAGCATGCTGGGAGGCTGAGGCAGGAGGATTGAAAATTCAAGCCCAGCCTGGGCAATTTAGTGATTTAGTAAGAACTGGTCTCAAAAATAAAAAATAAAAATAAATAAAAAGGCTGGCGACATAGCTTAGCACAAAGGCCCTAGGTTTAATCTCCATTACCGGGAAGAGGTGAGGGGTGCTGTTCACCCCTCCCGAATACTGTTCAGACCTCAGGCACAGTTGCTCTTTGGGTTGCTAAACAGAGGTGCAGAGTGGCTCCTGGCTATATGTGCGGCCCCTGTCACCACCTGAGGGCACAGGATGATTGCAGAGGAAAGGTAGAAGGGTCCCCAGGGACAAGGACACGGCCAGGCATCTGCAGAATGCAGAGATGGTGCTGGCTGGCATGCAGAAATCCCAGTCTGAGGGTCAGACGCCCTGGGCTTTGGATCCAGGTCTGCCCTCAGGGGGCCTGGTTGCAGGACTATGCAGGCCGCACAAACTCAAGCTCCTGCCCACCCTCCACGCGGCATCCCTGGAGACCCACCTGTGCCCACCCAGGGAAAGAACTGAGATGGAGGAGAGACCAGGGCCCCACTGGGTGAGGACACCGTGGCCACGCCCTGGTTTGTGTTTTCACAAGGCCCTCTCCTGGCCCTGGCCGAGTCCCTGGAGCCAGTAGGTCCCAGCTGGTCAGCAGAAGGGCCGCCAGTCTAGGGTGGGGGTTGCCTTTTTCTGCAGGAAGGTGACCCTTGCCATGCGGGCACCCTGGCCAGAAACCACCTTACGGGAGCCGCCCCGGGAGATGTAGGCTCCTGCTGCCCTGCACGCCGGCCCTCAGCAGCCACCCTACCTGCAAACCTCAATGTGCCAGTCAAGGAAGTGTGTGTTTGAGGCAGTGTGGCGGCCACAGAAAGAGGGTGCCCCCTAGGACACGGCCGGAGGTGTGCTGAGTCCAGAAGAGATGGCCTGGTTCCCGCGAGTAGCCTGGTGCTGGAGGGTGGATGGTTATTAGTTTGTCAGGAGAAGTGAGGCCATCTGGGTTGTGACACAGACTTAGAAGCTCAGGTGGGGACGCAGGGGGTAGCAAAGACCACTCCGAAGGGACTCCTGCAGCAGGAGGGAGTCGCCCCCCTCGGCTCTGGGGCGCTCTGCCTGGTCCTTCCTCCAGGGGGCGCTGCGCCGTCCGCGGGTCCCAGTGACCCGCCTTGGGTTCTGAGGACCGGTTCTAGGTCCTAACCCTCCCGGGGGTACCGGGGTCGGAGCGATGCAGCTGTGGTATGTGACAAAACCATCCCCTCCCCCATGCACGCACACATGCGCACGCACGCAGCAACAGGGTGTGGGATGGGGGGTCCTGGTTCTAGGGTGCCCCAGATCAGCTGGGGGATTGGGTAGAAGCTGGTGGGGCCTGTGCGCCCAGAGGTTTATTATTAGCCAGATTAGCCAGCATTAGTGGGGGGCGCAGTGGCCGGCGACATAGCTGGCGTGGCTGGCATAGCGGCGGGGCCTCCTGCGGCGCGGTCTCGGAGGCTTCAAAGGGGCTTAGCGAGGCCCTGGTGGCACTGCCACTGCGGCCCTTGGGAGGGCAGGAGAAGGCGGCCTTTGTGCGCGGGAGGATTAGGTTTCTGGCCTGGAAGGAATTTTAAACTGCTGGGGCTGAGCCGCTGGGGACCCTCCTCCCAGCACCACGAGGAGGGGTGAGCGCTGCCTGCTTTCCCATGGGGGTCCCCTTCCTTGCTCCCACGGGGGCTGCTGAGGGGGCCCAGATCTGCCAATAAAAACCCAGGACTTCCAGTGGGACTGAGTACTTTTTCAAAGTGTAAACACACCTCAAATACCTCGGAGTGGGCTATACTTCTGTGAAACACGATTTGCTATTAATCTGCCAACCAACTTAACTGAGGGCTTTGCACTGTTTTTTTCTGGCAGCCCTTGAGACAGCTGAAATGTCTAATTGGTGGCCCCAAGTAGACCTCAGTGCTCCTGAAAGTCCGAGTGTCACATTTGAGAACCAGAGAGGGTAGGGCTGGGTCTCTCCCCTCAGACAAGAACCCCTGCCTCCTTCCTGAGACAGCCACTTCCTGCAGACCCAGTGGATGGTCACCTGAACACGAGTCCCAGGCCCAGCCACATGGCTCTCTGCCCACAGGGGGCGCCAGGGCCCAGAGGACTGACCTGCAAGTGGATGGGTCTGGTTGCTGGAACCCTGTGCTGTGGAAGTTTGGGGTTGGGCACCCCATCCTCTGAGGTTTCCCACCCAGTCCTGGCCTTGCTTGGGCAGTTGAAGGCCATGTCTGCCTGGTCCAGAAGCTGTGGCCTTGGTTTCTACCAGGAGGGGACAGGTGGCCCTTGATGCAGAAGGCCCTGGATGTCTCTTTGATAGGCACAGCCTGCAGGGCCACCTCCTCTAGCATCCCTGGTCCCCACAGTTGTGGTCCCTGTCCCTCTTCCCCCGGAAGCCTGGCCCACGTGTCCCACGGGTCTGGCCAGTGCTCTGGCCCTCAGCAGGGGGTGCTGCTTGTGCCCGGGTCTCCTGGTGAGAAGGACCCTATCTATTTCCTCCTTCCTCATAGAGCTGGCCTTGGGGGACAAAAAGGGGGGGAGGGGAGAAGGGGAACCCGAGGTGTAGAGGTGGTAGGTAGGCAGAGCAGGGAAGGACCCTCAGCCCCCTCCCTGTTGCCTTCCCCCTCAGGGCTCTGACCTCTCTCCTTGAAAGCTGAGGGAAGCCTGGGAAAGCCCTTTCCCACGGTCGCAGCCCCACGCCCTCCTCCCCTGGCCCTGGCATCCTGGTCTTGCCCTTGGCGATGTGTGCCCACCCCAACCCAGTGGCCCCTCCTCAGCCCTAGGGCCTGCCGCTGCCGCTGCCGTGTGTGACACCATCACCCCACGTCTCAGGCCGCCAGTCATCAGGTCGGCAATTAGCTACTTCCTCCCGGCCACATGAGGCCACCAAACGTCACAGCCCCTCCTCCAGCCAGGGGCGGCGGGAGTGCTGGGGGTGCCCCCTACCCTTTGTAGTCAATGCCAAGTCCTGGCATGATGCCCCCTCCCGAAGCCGCTGAGGGCTGAGTAATGAGCGCCCATCTAGGAGCGGGGAGCTGCGGCTGCCTCCTCCCCCATCACCCCATGCCATGCTGGGCGGCGCAATGCTGGCTCAAGGGCACCGGCTGCCAGGCCTGGTCAGGGCTGGAAACTCAGGTGTCCCTGTCCCCAGTTGCAGGCAGTTTCCCCCAGGCCCTCACCTGGGGAACAGGTCAGAGTCCCGTGGGCATGCTCCCTGCAGCTCCTCCCATGCTGGCCACGCCTCCCACCCTCCCTAGCCCCAGCCCCTGCCCCTGCCCACCCCCCACCCAGAGGCAGTAAGTTCAGCCTCAAGGGAGCTGCTGAGCAGGAGCCTGCAGAGGAAGCAGGAGGGCAGGAGGGCGGAAGGAGAGGTCCCACTCCCACTTCCCTGGCCTGGGGGCTTCTTGGGAGGCAAAGGCGGGCAGAACTCTTCAAGGGGCTGAGTGGGTGAGCAGGTTGTGGGGAATCACTGTGGTTCAAGTTAGGAGCTGGGCGAGGGAGGTGATTCCAAAGAGAAAAAAAAAAAAAAAAATCCAAGCTGGGCATAGCGGTGCACACATGCAATCGCAGCACTTGGGAATCTGAGGTATGAGGATTGCTATGAGTTCCAGGCCAGCCGGACTTCACAGTGAATTCAAGGTCAACCTGAACTCCATCATGAGACCTCAAAAATCAAACAACAAATAACCCAACACATATAAACTGATGTATGGTCCCCAAGGCCTCAATGGTCCCACCAGCCCAGTGGGGACTGAGGGTACCATTTAAACTTAGGAGTGAGGTTTAAATTAGAACCCTGCTGGCCCAGGCTGCTCCCAAGCCTACATCGCTCCTGGGGACCCTCCGCAGTGCTGTTGCAGGTGGTGGGTTTGCAGGGAGATGTGCAATCTCCTCCTAGGCTCCTCTGCACACCCATTTTTCTTTAGTTACTGGGATCTAAAATGTGGGGCACAGGCTGAGGGTGTGGTGAGCGTGGGATGTGTGGTGCCGCTCCCATGGGAGCTGGGCTGGCAACTGCCCCACCCTCCGTGGCTGGTACGACAGGTAGCCGGGCACTGGCTCCTGGCCCCAGGAGGGGGTGAGTCAGCTAGCACCTCCTAGACCAGGCAAGTGGGGTGCAAAGGACAAGATCCTGGGCTCAGGGGCTTTCGAGGAACGTTCCTGGAAGGAGACTTGGGCACTGGCTGCTGTGGGAGCCACCACCAGGGCCTGGATCTGGCTCTGCAGATGCTGTAGATCGAGCTTCTCAGCGCAGCCTCTGGGCTGGGCACCCTGCTGCCACCGCTCAGCGTTACCACCCTTCTCAGCCTGTCTAGCAGGGTCTCCACGCCCTGGATGTGGAGCATACAGACGCACACGTACATGTGCATGTGCCCTTGGCCAAGCAGGCTCCGGTGAGACTGCAGCAGCGGCCACTCTGCACCCTCAGGCTGGGCCCGCTGCTCACGCCCACTCGGGTTCCCACGCACACGCACAGGGGAGCAGATGTACTCACTGCTGCGCTCCCTGAAAGGTGTGTCAGCATCCCCAGGACCTGGGAATTGGACTGCATTTGGAAAAGAGTTCTTTAATAATCTGACTGATTAAAACGAGCCTTCCCTGGGGTGGAGCAGGCCCCAGAGCCAATGCCTGGTCCCAGGGTACGGTGTGGAGAAATCTGGAGACCCAGAGACATGAAGGTGGCAAAGAAGCCAGCCTTAGTGACAGCTTGGGTTCAGACTTCCTGCTCCTGCCCTGGGAGTGAATACGTTTGTGTTTGGAGCCCCTGAGTGTGTGGCCGTTGGTATGGTAGCCACAAAGCTGGCCCCAGCTCAGGGATGATGTGGGTGGGTTCCCTTAGGGGGCTCCTCTGCCTCTGCTTCTCCTTCTCTTGTGATTAATCCACTAGCTCCAAAACAGCTGATGGTCCAGAGAATCTCAGGATTGTGCAATCTTTCCTTTCCTTCCCAGAGTTCTTTATCAGACTGCTCCCTCAAAATCTGCTTCCAAGGACGACATGTAGCAGAAGATTCCAGCTTCTCTGGATCTATTAGTCAACAACAG